TTATATCTTTTTGGGCCATCTAGAACTACTTGCTTGGGTGGAAAACAATATGCATTTGTCTTGGTAGATGACTATTCTAGATATACTTGGGTTCTATTCTTAAGCACTAAAGATAAAGCATTAGAAAAATTCATCATGTTTTCAAAAGTAATCCAAAACGAAAAAGGTTTCTCCATAACTAGTGTTAGGAGTGATCATGGAACTGAATTTGAAAATCTTGCATTTACTGAATTTTGTAATTCAAATGGTATTAGCCATAATTTTTCAGCACCTAGAACCCTCAACAAAATGGAGTTGTTGAGAGGAAAAATCGAACTTTAGAAGAAATGTCTAGAACCATGCTTTGTGAAAACAATTTGCCAAAATATTTTTGGGCGGAAGCTTGAGCATTTCAAGCCTATTTTTCATTCAATATTCATTTTGCTTTCAAGAACACTACTTGTACTCAATTGTATTCATTTTTTAGTGTTCTTTTCTTTGTTCTAAAATTGTGCAAACAATCTATCTTGTGAGGATTTCCTTGTAAGTTTGCAAATTTGTAATATTCTCTTTGAGAAAGAGTGTTCTCAAGAATTGGGGTATATTCTTGAGGGAGTTGTAAGGTTATCTCTTTGGCCTCAAAAAAAATTAGTGAATTTGTTGAAAAATCCTTAGTGTGGATAGCTAGGGTAGTGGACGTAGACTTTGATTGAGAAAGTCAAACCACTCTAAATCACTGTGCAAATCTTTTCAATTTTCTGCAAAAGCTTCCACCAAAATTTTAATTGCCAATTCTTGTCCAATTCCATCGATCGATTAACTCAACAGCTTGTGATATTGCATTGCATAGTTTCTTCTAAATTTTAGGGCATACAGGCCCAACAAACTTATTAGCTTGATCCTTTTTTTTTGCAATTCTTTGCATCAACATTGTTCTAATGGACTCCAACAATGTAATAATTGGTTTGTCTCTAGTTTCAAGTATCAATTAATCACAAAATGAAAAAAAAATCTTAGATTACATAATAACAATTTTTTAAAACTTGTATGAATTGGTTTGTCATATTCACCTTATTGAAACACTCACAAAAATTGTTTAACAGCATGTCTGACTTGGCTCTGGAAGAGAAGTGTGACTTTGACCACTGTTTAGGATCCTTCTCTGACAACCACTTGTGTGTTATCCCTGATAAAAGCTGCATGAAATAATTTATTTTTAGTATACTCTTCATCAACATGAACACATGTAAAATAACAAGTTTACCAAAAATATATATACTTTCATTCCTTCCATGGCATATTCAAACTCCCTAAGATATATTGCCCTAACAGCCATCCACAGGTTGTCCTTCAATGCTTTCCCCTTATGATGACCATTGCTCTTAAAATTTGAATATAAGTGTCTCACACATGTTCTATGTTCTGCATTGAGGAACAATTCTGCCACAACTTCTACCAGCCCCTACACACAGCAACATAAAAGATTAGAAATCAATATTAGATTGATTTACATCAAACAAAATTTTAAAAGTATGGTAATAAATACCTTCTGTCTATCAGTCATGAATGTCAATATGTGAGAATTATTCAACTCCAAATCATTACCCAATACTTCTAAAAACCAGAACCAGGATGATTGATTCTCACTCTCTACAACTGCAAAGGCTAATGGATAAATAGAGTCATCTGCATCAACTCCAACAGCGGCTAGCAGATGCCCCCCAAAAAATCCCTTTAGGCGACACCCATCCAAACATATAATCGGCCTACACCCTGATTTGAACACATCATTCGTTGCTTGCATACAAATATAAACCCTCTTGAAAACTCTCTCATCCAAATGACAAACGGTGGTTGTGCCTGGATTTGTGTACCTAAGCTCACTTAGGTAATCATACAATTTGGTGTATTGTTCTGTGTGGTTACCATGCAGCTTTTCAAGAGCTATGCACTTAGCTCTAGAACACTTAGATGCAGAAACTATGATGCCATAATCATTACGCACATCTTGCTTAAGGGATTTAACAGAATAATTGGGATCAACATGGAATGATTGAAAATATTGTTATGCTATCCAATTAGCAGTTATATTATGATTTTCAAACCCCTTAAGACATGTATGTTCATCATTCAGTGACTTAATTTGCCAAGTACCATAACTAGGATCTTTAGGGGTAAGTGGAGAGGCCCATAAAACCCAAGGACAACTTTCCTTACATCTTACTTGGATTCTTTTGTTGTCATTTCTTCTAAACTTCACATTATACCTATTTTTAATTGCATACATTCTGATTGCCTCCCTTAATATTGTCTTGTTAGTAAAGATCAGTCCAACCTTTAATTTAGGGTTTGTAATATCTATGGCAGTATTAAATTCAGGGTGTCTAGGATTCCTATGTGAACCATCACCATTTGACTCATCTGCACTGTATAATGAGTCAGAATTTCCATCTTTAGAGTCACTAACAACCCTCATTTCATCACTTTCCACCCCAGTATTCAAATCACTTAATTCAACTTCTGAATTTTCAAAGTCATTATCACTAGCAGAAAAGTCAGATTCATCACTACTTATCTGTGGGGCTTCATACTTAGAATCTATCCTCACCTCAGCAGGTTCTGGTTCATCAATTTTAGGTTCATTAATTTCTGGCTAAGCTGGTTCTGGTTCATTAATTTCTGGCTGAGCTGGTTCATTAATTTCGGGTTCAGTAATTTCGGGTTGAACTGGTTCTGCTTCATTAATTTCAGGTTCATTATGTTCAGACCAGTGTTGATTATGCTCATTAAGTCTTTCAATGCATTCCAAATATATGTGAATGTTATGGTCACTAGGTAAAACCCTAAGCATTTCAAGTATATCACTATCAATTAAGAGTGGTTTGACCTCTAGTGTAATGTTTGACACTTGCCAAAATATCTTAAGTGAATAACTAATTCCTAATTTGGTTATCATATCAATAATTTCAAAGATGGACATCTCATCAGCATCACAGTTGTCAAAGTAGTCCACTAGTATACTAGTGTATTCCAGCCTTGTTCTCTTAACAAAAAAACCACCATGATGTACTACAGTTGTAAATTTTTGAGAATTCAAATATGTTAATGAAAAAATTTCATTATTATTCAAATAATTAAAGAATATTTAACTACAACTGAATATACTAACAATATATCAAAAGAGACAAAAAATAACTTTTCAAATAATAGATTCTAGCACATAACATGTGGGGATCACATTCAAAATACTATACTAATAGCAACACATAACATGTGAGGACCACAAAAATTGCAAAGTTACATGTTTGTACATGTGCATTGCATATATTCATGCAAAAGTCAACTTACTGAAATTCACTAAACACATATATTCATACACAACATATACATGCATAACATATACATGCAGTACTCACATTCATTGATTCCATGCAAACCATATATATGCATGCAAACAAATAATTCTATCACTACATATAAATTCATGTATTCTATAAAACAGTAAGCATATATAGCAGTAAACCCATGTATACTAACAACAAACCAATTCGTGCAATCAGTAAGCATAAGAAAAATCCATATAATCTCATATATACTATTCTCATTCGTGTAATCAGTAAGCATGAAAACCATTAATACTAACAGTAAACCCACTAAACTCATATAATCTCAGTAAGCAAAAATATTAACATATATACTAACCATTTATACTAACATTAAGCATTACACCCAAATAAACTCCCTAACATATATAGCATTTTAATAGAAGAAAGTTTTCAAATTTAACATAATAAAATAAGAGTTTTCAAATTTATTTTGAGGAGCTTCAAAAATATTTTTTAAACGGAAGAAGCCCCATTTTTCAGCGCTTACCATATCTCGCGTTTAAGTCTTCTTCCAAAACGATGATATCTACTATCCATTGTTAAACGGGGAGGTTGAAGGTGAATGGGTTTTCTGCGATGAAGGCTAATGGGTTTTCTGCGGTGAAGGCGAATGGGTTTTCAGACGAAATCTTTTGAAATCTCTCTAAAGTGCGAAGGATTTTTAGACGAGGAGGTTGAAGGCGAATGAGTTTTCTGCGATGAAGGTGAATGGGTTTTCAGATGAAATCTCTCTAAAGTGCGAAGGATTTTCAGACGAGGAGGTTGAAGGCGAATGGGTTTTCTGCGATGAAGGCGAATGTGTTTTCACTCTTTCAACGAGTGTAATGCAAAAGTGAGGCGAAGGCGAATGGGTTTAATTTGAAAAAACCCATTGGTTTTCCACGTGTGTACTCAGCTGGCATTAATTATAATTAAAAAAATATCGCCGTTAGTTTATAACAGCCACGTCAGACTCTCCGTTTTTTTAACGGAGAGTGGTCTGATTGAAGCAATTAAAAAGTTTGGTGGTCGAATTGAGATAAAAAATAGTTCGGTGACAAGATTGATTTATGAGCATAGTTTGGTGGTCTCCCGTATAGTTTACCAATGATTTTTAAGAGTTTTTGCCATCTGAGAAACGCCGACGAGCTCATTTTCGAAAGATTTGATGCTTACCTCGAAAACATAAAGGGCAAATGAAGACAGCAAGAGCAGAAGGGATAAATTTCATATTAAGGGATAAATTCTAAAATTTAAGAAAAAACGGATTTATAAAATTATAATAGAATAAATATATTTTTAATAAAAAATAACATAAAAAATTTAAAAATATATGATAATTTTAAATTTGAGGATGATTATCAACCATATCTTGTGTGATCCATCCTAAAAAGATCTAAACCCTTTTGGGCCGAGCCACATGGTAATTGTATATTGGACAGTGTTGAACTCAATTAATAGAACTCAATGAATCTTGGACATTTAGAAGATAATATACGCTCGAAATAGAAATCCATGTTTCATAAAAGGAAAAAAAACAGGGTTTAAATTTTTGATAAACCAGGATCACCCAAAAATCAAAAAGCTCAAAATTACCACTGGAGCATGAACTTGATACATGGAGTCACAGTATTGACCTGTGGGGACATTCCAGTCAATAACATACACTTCTATATCCACATCTTTTTATCAATAATCCCTCGAATAATTTCCAAACATCAAATAAATTTCATCACTTGATACAGAAAACCTTCTTTTCCATATTTCAACTCTTCCCCACTTCTCTCTCTGCTTGTAAGACAAGGAACCACAAAAAAAGAGACACCATTTTCACAGCGTTCCAACGAGAACTCGGACAATTTGATGATTGTTTTTCCTTCGTAAGTTTTCGGTGTTTCTGTCGCTGTCCATTTTGCAAATTCAAGGACTGCATAGGTTCTTGAGATCTTCTTCCTTAGCATACCAGTTCGGTATTATCTTTGTCAAATGGGGATAAAGATCCTTGTATGAATTTCGTATAGTCCCTTCTGCAACTCCAGTGGCAAGTGAAATATCTGCACCCCCACACATTGTTTTCCATCAAAAGTGTGCATTTTTCATAGAATGAAGGTTGCAACTAAAAGAATTTGAACACACTTTTATTCTTTTTAATGGAAAAATACGCACTCATGTCGCATAATTCAATATTAGAACCTAAACTGCATTTATCAGCACTGTATCAAGAAGAAATGTAGGAACACAAAAGTAGTTTCCAAAACATCTTTATTTTTACTTAAAAAGAATGATGGTAAAGAGCAAACCTCTGAGAGGCTTCTTATCATCCGAAAGCTGTGTTATAATATAAATGACCGCTGCTGCAATTGATATAGGGCTGCGCCTGCAAAATTCCCATAAATTGTTAGCAAGTAACTATACAAAGTTATAAACCATAAATGAACAAAACCATTAAAGAAGACATGCATAGATACGTGAAAGATAATATGTCTCGATACAACAATCTCTATTCTCAACTAACAAATTTTATATAAAAAAAAAAAAGCTGCAAAAACTAGAAGGCAGAAATCTCTAAGTCAAAGTTAGTAACTTCATCTTCCTTCGACCTGAAACCTAGTCCAAAAACCAAAGATAATGGGAAAACACAAGAAAAAAGAGGGAAGGCAGGGGAAGGGTGGGATGGGTGTATTCAAAAAAGGTAGACAGTGCAGAAGCTTGGAGAAGACGCAGGGCAAACTTTTGTATTGCAACCATATCTTTGCAAAAGCTCTCAGAAGAAACCATTTATATCATGTTTGCAGGTGTTCGGAAAGACTGATCACTATTTATTTATTATTTTGAATTATTTTTAGCTCCATAGCTTACAAGCAAAAAAGAAAGCTTAGCATTCAGTCATTTCAGGAATGTGCTTTATGGAGATAAAGAAAGTTTATTTTTACGTAAACAAGCTAGGTGTTACTATTAAGCTGAAATACACTTTGCAAGAGACAAACAGAAGCAAAGCAACCTGATTGATGTGATAAGTCAATGGAATAATATGAGGAAGGCTAATCAAATTATTTTTCTTTCAAAATCATCAAACAGTCTAATACATACAGAACTATAATGAACATCCTAATCTCCAAAGGAAAGACTTCAAAATCCACATATTGTATAATGTTTGGATAGTTTCACTTGTGATAATCTTGTTTAAGGAATTACATATATGTAACTTTCTATATGTTATAATACAAGTTATAAATATCAAAATAAATAAATAAATAATACATGTTATATAAATCTTGACACATTCACACTATTTCTTGTAGTGTGATTATATTACATACAAAGTTGCTAGATCTCTAAAAGGTTTAGCTTCTCATTCATCAATACCTCATAATCAACCTAAATTATGTCTTTAAAAACTAATAGCAATTATTGCAAGATGTCAGCCATAATTTTCACTTAGTTCCTGATCAGCTTCTCTCTCTGTCAATATTTTATTCAAACATTCTAATTCTTTCTTAATCATGTTAGGTGATCAACTTAAAACACTTCCTAATTACAATTCTGTGAACTGGAGAGGTCCATTGATGAGAATCCTAGCCAAATAGGACACTGAACTAAAATTTATTTGAAAGGTAAAAAGCATTGAAAGATATTTCAATTTAGTTTCAGTGCTTTGTGATGAAACTAGAATAATAACTACCTTATATCAAACTCCTCCGACTTCTGAACTGATTCTTGAGCAGCTTTAACGGCTTGATTATTCATACCAAGATTGGAACAAAAACGCCTCTGATAGTTAAAAGAAATTAATGTTAGTGACAACCATACTGGGTATATAAATGAACAATACAATATTCAAGAAAGGAACTGCGGCAACAAAGTTGTAGACTGAGAGCACCTTTATCTTCTTCTTTTTTTTGATGAAAATAGGGAACTCACCATGAAGTCACCAGCATGTATGGTTCCCATCTCCACAGACTGACCAGTTTCCAATCCCAATGTTTTCACTATGTATTCTTTTGCTCGGCCAATTTCTTTCTTTGTAGCTCCATTGGCAACAGAGCAAATTTCTATTTGAAATCCAGGTTTAGGAAACCTCATACACATTAGGAAAGATAAATCACGAAGCATCCATATGTTAAAAGAATCTTAGGCTGTACCCTTGACAGTGCGTGGCTTGTCCTCTTGTCGACAAGCAATGTATAGGCAAGCAGCCAACAATGCATCCTGATTTCTTCCTCTACTAGACTTCTGGTCTTCCACTTTCTTAAATATCTCATTAGCTCGATCCTTCAATCAATGCCAAAAGCATCATAAATTAGATGCATATATGAAAATTGATAAAAGAAAGAATAATAATGAATGAAAAGGTCATCAAGCTAACATTTTAAGTGTAAAACACAACAGAAGATGCTCCTATGAATCAGAAAAGTATTAAATTAACTCAAACAAATACTTGCAAATTATTTTCTTTTAGAAGCATAAACATGCACAAATTTTTTTTTTGATAGGAATAGAAGGCCTCATTAAAAACCTCCCTCATAGTTGTCTCTATTAAGGAGACAAGTAGCGGAAGGAGGAAAAGAGTGCCTTAGTATATTAATAACCAACAATTACATAAGAACCAAACATTACAAATAATTGCCAAATCAAAGAAACAACCAAAGAAACCAAGGCACAGCTACTAACAATATCCTCCACAGTCACTAACCAATTCCTGACTTAGCTAGACAATCAGCTTCCACATTCATACCTCTGCTGATATGCTTAATAATAACATTATAAAGCACCACTGACTTCTGAATTTCTGAAATAAAATCAACAAGGTGAACCGGGCAAAGATCCGGGCTGTTGATCCACTTAACTGCAAGAAGCGAGTCACTCTCTAAAATAAGATTTCCTTTGTCCCTCCAAACTGAATCAAAAAATACATCTACCCCGGTTTTGATTGCATAAATCTCTACAAGAATAGGAGAACAAGGTCCTAAGGCTGTAGAGAAGGAAACCAATTTGTTATTACCAGCATCTTTAAGAACTCCACCAATACCACTCTTTTTCCAGTCAAAGTTGACAACCCCATCAACATTCATCTTAAAGTAACCGGAAGGAGGGGGACACCATTTTAATCTTGACAGTCGAAAGTTAGAAGGGGATTTATTCATATCCGCCAAAGTAAGATCACCCACAAGGCTATCCATATGAATAGACAAATCCTTATTTTTTGCTAAAAACCATGGTGCCACCCTATACCTCACCAAAAAAAACAGATTTTCTTTGTCCATCTTGCCTTTCTCAAATACAATCTGGTTCCGGCACAGCCAAACAGACCACAAAACAGCTCCTGGAATAAATCTCCAAATACCCGAGTAAGGTCTAAGTTGCAACCATGAAAGCAGGAAGCCTTTCGGATTATTAGGGAGAACTGAAAAAACTCTCCACAGACGGAGTAGTTTTGCCCAAATCTGCCAAACCTGGACGCAGGAAAAAAATAAGTGACTGACTGATTCCGATTCCTCACCACAGAACACACAAAGCGGGTTTTCTATATCTTTAACTCCTCTTCTCAATAAAGCAGCTTTGACAGCCAACTTCTGATGAATAACTTGCCATAGGAAAATCTCTACCTTTGGTGGAACTAAACCTTTCCACACAATCTCAAACCAAGAATTGTCAGATTCTGCTAAACTTGAAAATAGTCTTGAGCACGAATTAACCGAGAACTCACCATCCCCACTACCTTTCCACGCAACACGGTCTTCACCCTGCAGTAGAGGGCGAAAATTATCCAGCAAAACCATCAGTTCCATCCAATGTTCAAACTCACTATCCATTAAATTCCTCCTAAGTTGAAAATCCCATACCCACTCCCCATTCAATATACACCCAAATTCAGTCACAACACCTTCCTTATTAACAGACAGAGCAAAGATCCTAGGAAACAAAGTCTTCAAAGAAACATTAGAAATCCAAGAATCATGCCAAAATCTGATAGACTCTCCTTTACCCACCTGAAGCACGAGATTATTTCGAAGGCATAAACCAAAAGAGTCATTAGACCAATAGTTATTTAAAACACCTTTCCAAATCCAAGACACATTAGAGGGCAGTTTACCATCTAACACAATAGAGCTCGATCCCGCATTATACTTAGAACAAATCAAAGTCTTCCACCAAGAGTCCTTCTCTGTACCAAATTTCCAAACCCACTTGCCCAATAAAGCTCTATTCCGTAACTTTAGATCCGAAATTCCCAATCCCCCCAACTCTTTATTTTTACAGACAGTATTCCAGTTAACCCAATGGAGCCTTTTCTTCACAGCCGATGAACCCCACAAGAAGTTGGCCATAATAGATTCCAATTTCTTCCTCACAACCACTGGCATTTTGAAAAGTGACATATAGTAATTAGGGAGAGCATTCAAGACTGATTTTATCAAGACTGTCCTTCCTGCTATTGATAAAGAAGACAGTTTCCAGCCTGTCAATTTCTGGTAGAACTTATTAACAATCGGATCCCATAGTTGAATAGAATTCCTCTTAGCACCCAAAGGTAACCCCAAGTATTCTGCCGGAAAAGAACCTCTTAAACAACCAATAGAATCTGCCCATTCCCCAACAATGTTATCTTGTAAATTGAGAAAAAAAAATTCTGCTTTTCAACAAATTCAGCTGCAGCCCTGTACACATCTCAAAAACAACCAAAACCCTCTTCAAATTTGCTAATTGACCCTTAGAAGCTTTACAAAAAATAATCAAGTCATTCGCAAATTGTAAATGGGACAGCATCGACGAAGAATTATCAGAACCTAAATTAAAGCCCTCAAACAACCCCAATGCTACTGCTTTAGACAATAGTAAATTCAGAAATTCACCCACTATATTCAACAGAAGCGGGGATAGAGAACACCCTTGTCTCAGCCCCCTAGATATTTTAAAACTTTCAGTTGGGGAGCCATTGACAAGAATTGAAATAGAAGTTGAACTTAAGCAATTATGGATCCACGACCTCCATCTTCTGCTAAACCCCATACACTCCATAACTTTGATTAAAAAATTCCAATCAACAGTGTCGTAAGCCCTCTTGAAATCCACTTTGAAGACGAGACCTTCCCTTCCTTTCCTCCTCCAAAAATCGATTGCTTCATTAGCAATTAAGGAGCAATCACAAATCTGCCTTCCCGGGATGAAAGCAAATTGAGATTGACCAATTAACCCTCCTATGCACAGCCTTAACCTTCTTGACAAAACTTTAGACAAGATTTTGTAAAGTCTCCCTACCAAACTGATTGGTCTGTAATCCTCAATGCATACTGGAATCTGCTTCTTCGGAATTAGAGTGATAAAGGAATGATTGACACCTTTCCCAAACTTCTTCCCTTTGTAGAAATCTTCAAAAAACTTAAGAATGTCTCCTTTCAAAACCGGCCAAAATTTCTTGAAAAATCCCATATTCAATCCGTCAGGACCCGGAGCTTTATTACTATCCGACGAATGTATTATCTCCCAAACTTCCTCCTCCGAAAAATTCATATCTAATTGAGCAACTTGACTCTCCGAAAGTTTAGAAAAATTCAAATCCATCTTCACAACTCCAACCGTCGGAATGGCATTGTAAGCATTCTTGAAAAAAATCAAAAATTGCAGCTTTTATCCTTATCGGATCCTCAATCAAATTCCCACTCACATCCAAAGAATTAAGAGCATTCACCCTCCCTCTATTTGTAGCACATTGATGAAAATACCTTGAATTTCTATCTCCATCCATAATCCACTGCGCCCTTGATTTTTGAAACCAAACTAATTCTTCTTTTTTATATAATGACCATAATTCACTTTTTTCTTTTGCAACATCCACCATAGAAACGGAAGGAATCCTTTGTTGTAATTGAGCTTCTTGATTCGAAATTAGTCTCTCTTTGCTTTCAATCAAACTTTGTAATTGCAATCTGCTTCCATTAGACCAATTCATGATTTCTGTCTTAGAAACTCTAAGTAACTCCTCAATGTTCAGCCTCTTCCTACTCTTAGCTTCTGAAATTTTCTTTTCCACAGCTTCCTTAAAACCCTCCTCCATACTGTAATTGAATAGTTTGAAGGGTTTCGGACCCCAATTAATCTTATTGGAATCCAATGCCACAGCATTATGATCTGAAATTGACTTAGGTAATAGCATCTGAACAACATCCGGGAATAAGCCTAAGAAATCTGCAGAAACTAAGAACCTATCCAACCTCACAAATGTAGGATCTTCCCTGTTACTACCCCAAGTGAAACTTCCTCCCACCAAAGGCAGATCCATTAAACTTGTATGGAATAGAAACTCCCTGAACCATCCCATTGAATTTTCATTCAGAGATTTCCCCATCTTTTCTTCCTGTGACAAGTGAGCATTAAAATCTCCAGCAACACATAAAGGACACCCCAATGAAGAAATAAAACTGGATAATTCCTCAAAAAACGCTTCTTTATCAGCTTCGACAGAGGGCCCGTAAACATTAATAAAACAACACACCTCTTGGTTATCCTTTACTATACCCTTTAAAGCTATAAACCTTTGTGAAATTTTCACTAGCTGAGGTAAAAACCAATCCTCATCCGTAACCAATCCTCCTGATGCACCCACGGTCGGAGAATCCACCAACCCACCTAGAATTTTACCCCCCAACTTCCTCCTCAAGCCTACACGAACCACCTCCAATTTCGTTTCTTGCAAAAAAAGAAACGACGGTTTCTTATTAACAACCACCTTCCTCACTGCCCTAGCTTTTTCCTTCCTACCTAATCCTCTAATATTCCAAGTGACACAAGAAACACGAACCATAAAAATAAAATTAAAAGCCTTCAACCAATAATAAGGGTTAATACCCACCCTTCTCCCCCCTAACCGAATTAGACTCCGAAAACTTCTCAGCAAAAACTTTCCTACCCCCCTCAAAATTAACACCTAACATTTGGCTAACCTGCCAAGTTACTTCCATTTCATCATTATCAATCGAAAAAACAACTCCTGCAAAACCCTTATCTGATTCAACTCTTTTAATCTTCTTATTAGATCTGCTGTAAACTCTGTCACAGAAAATGGTAGCTACCTTAGGGGGTCGAACTGTATGGTGATTATTAAAAGACAATTAAAGAGATGTAGATTACAAGAGCTTCGGTTCTCAAATTAAGGGAAAAAAATAAAACCGAAGATTCAGCAAAATTTAAAAAATAAAGGGACCATAAAAATAAAAGAAGAAAAGCTTTGAAGAGTGGGAAGAAATTAAATTTCCAATTCAAAACATCTAATAAGAACTATTTCTGTTACAGTACATTTTTAGAAGTTTATTTTCCTTTTCTTAAAACCTTCACATACAACTATTAAAAATCCAAAAGTTATACAGCGAGAATGGGATGCAAATATATTTTTAGAGAGTTAAATGCTCAACACTGCATAGCAATCAAAACATCTGAAGTTTTTAAGGAGGATTGTATCCTGGCTGCAATGCACTAGATACTTACATCGGTTACTTAATTCTTCAAGCTTAAATGATATCTAGTACATTTTAGGGATAACTTCTTGGTTCTTATTGTAACGCCCCGAATCCCGGATTAGTAGTTCGGGTCAACCCGAAACCCAAAGTTGAGCCACTGGACCTTTGTTTGATAGGAAGTGGAGGCCTCGTTAAAAACCCCTTCATGATTAACAGAACACCAATCGGTGTTCCTTAATCAGCGGAAGGAGGAAAGAGTGCCTCAAAATTCATTAATAAGTAAAAGATTACATAAAGTTTAAGACAAACAATCCCCGTACAAAAACAACCCGAAACACACCAAACAACACATCTTTCTCTCAATTAAACAACATCCTAATCCAACCAACAATAACTACCCAATACCAACCTTAGCTAAGCTATCAGCTTCAAAATTAGCTATTCAGTCAACCCTTCTGATAGCACCCTCCAAAAGTCTTAACAACAACAATATCTATCACTAGATGAAGAAAAAACACCTGGACAACTATCTAAATTCTTAACCCAATCCACAGCAAGATGCTATCCGAAGCAACGATCCACCAATTCTTAAACCTCTGAAGAAAGGCTCAAAAGAAGTACACCCTTCTTGATAGCAATAAGCTCCAGCAAAGTTGGAGGGCCTGTATCTACAGATACTATGAAAGAACCCATCAACTTGTCAGCCTCAAAATCAACTGATTCATTCCATAAAAACCAAATTCTAACATTGGACCTTATATTATAGTTGGTTCAAGTTGTTGTTTGTGGACTTGAGTTAGGGCCCAAGAGAGTTGTTGTTTGGGGATGAGTAAATTATGAAATAAGAGTAAAGGGACTAAAAGTGTAGTTTACCCATAGTCATTTTGGAAGCTGAAAATCCCTCCATATTTAATGTTTTCAACGTGAACCAAAACCCCTTACACAACTCACCAAACACTCTTCCTATCTTCTCATCTTTCTCTCTTCTTCATTCTTTCCTAAAGTGAGGAATTTAGAGAAATTCAAGCTTAGTTGAGTGAAGCCAAGGTAAGATTTCAACTCCTTATTCTTCAAGCTTCAATATAAGCTCAATTTCATTAGTTTTTATGCATATAACCAAAAATGGGTTTTGAGAGGGTTGTTAGAATCTATGGATTCTAGCTATGTTTTGGATATTAAGGAGTTATTTAGAATGTACTCAACTTCTAGATGGATTAGTAATCCATTTTCTTACCTTGTTTAGTGAATGAAGTGGGAGAGAGTTCCAAATCAAAAGGCAAAGAAAGTTGAGCATTGGTTGATTTGAGGAGAGTTCTAGCCACCAAATAAGCAAGGTAACGCCTTTACAACTCTTCTATACTCTTAGTGAGTCATTAGAAGTTCAAAATAGTTTAAATGGTTGAGTTGAGCATGATAAACATTTCCATGGTGAAATTCTTGTGTTAGAGTTATAAATGTGTTTAAAGCCTCTATTATGACCCTTGTTGATCAAATAAAACTTTAAGCATGTTTGGGGACCTCACTAGGGTCTTTGGGATTGAGAATATAGCATTTTAGTATGTGTTTTACGACTTCTGCATGTAGAGTATTGATACTATATGGATAGTAACGATACTTGTTATTCGTTTTGGGCAAATTCGTGAGTTTCTGGGCAAGAGCATTGATACTCTTTCAAGATTATCGAAACTTTGGGTCATAGTTTCGAAACTCCTATAAAGTTTGAAAACTGAGCAGAACATAATGTTTAAAAGTATCGATACTTATATAAAGTATCGAAACTATTGCAGGAGTATCGATACTCTTGGGCTAGTATCGATACTTTCAGTCTGTTTTAGGCAAAAATGTCAGTTTTTAAGGGAATTAGACTCGAGGGACCCCAACACTTCATTATATCATCAAATAAGACTACAAGTGAGAATATTAATGATATTAATTACACTTAGAAACAAGATTCAATTAGGATGACATAAAAATAGCCTTGGATGTGGCTCGGGAAACGACCAAGACACCCGAGTTCCTTTAGAAAATGCTAGCATTATCAAAAGTATAGTTTCAGTCCGGATATATCCTTACGTAGTAAGCGAGGCACTTAAAGCTAATTAGCTTGGGCGCAAGGTCCAACACTCAAGGAATGGGCTAGTCGAGGGGGTTGACCGATGTAGAGATTTCGGGCCACCAACCTCAGTAGACTAGAGGGGTGTGTGAGCTCCGAGATGCAGAACCCTCAGCTGCACCATGGTGTCTACCATAGAGTAGAGAGTGCATTATACGAGTATACTCACTATCTCAGTTTATCAGTTAGCTAGAGCATGTCATGAACACTTTTAGTATGGCTTAGTTGTTAGTGTGGCACTGGGCTAGTTAGCTCAGTGTTTGGAATTTGTTTTCTTACGCAGGTTAGTCGAGGAGCAGTCTGAGGACCTTTTGACAACAGTGATCCAGACCCATATAGTGCAAAGTCCGTCACAAGTTCATCTTTAGAGAGCATGTATAATTGTAAACCTCGATTTGTATATTTTTGTATAAGTCGTAACTCATTTTGAACTATGGTCTGCATGATTTAAATATTATTTTGGGAGCTCCTAATGTAAACTATTTTATTTAAATTGTAGTTGATTTATTTTAGCATGAGTGGTTACAAATGGTCATTTTAAAAAAAACAAAAAAATTAAAAAGAAAATTTTGGTTAGTCACTCCGGTGGTTCTGTGTGGCATTCTGACCGGTTGAATGTGTGTCGTATTGGTTTAAGGTGTTACACTTATAACAGTGAAATGGTACATTTTTAACCATTAAAAAGATCGTTAAACAATATGTAAAATAATAAATAAATCAAATAATATTTAATATTTCTATAATTTTTTACTTTATTAGAAATAATACAGATTTCCTTACGGTGTAGAAGTCTTCAACACACTTGGCAACAATTTTGTTTGGTAAACAAAATGCTTTCTTGCCCAATCAACAACCCAAACCTTATTCTTTTTCCTCATCGTAAGGTGACTAAGAGCATGAGAAGCTTCTTATGATACCATTTATATGTATTTTGGTTTTTAGCACTAATGCAAGCTCAAGTTTAAAATTTATAGTTCTTTTCTGCTCGTGTACAGACCGGGGAAAGGGAACAGCAGCATTAAGGTAATTCCTGTATGCATTTGAGGTTTCAACTCATGCACAATATTATACTTTCATATCTTCTTTCAGTTGGCTCATTCTAACAAGGTTTACATTATCCTTTAGTTTAGGATTGAAGCCGACATGACATAGTCTAGTCAACTTTAATTAGTCTATGGCGTCAACACCAACTAGTATCAATAATACACACTTGGAATACTAAAATGAGGGAGTAGACAAGTCTATACGCATATGTGCATGTCACTAGCCCAGACAAATAAATCGAAACACCATATATGAATAGTATCTACACAGACGTAGGTAGCGTACCTTGATCGTTGCAACAAGGCCCAACCTGAAACATAAACTAATCCAAATAAGTGTCGGTTCGTCGTAAACTATTATCTTACAAGCATAGAATTTTACTTCATATAGAAAAGGAAGTGCGCCAACAAAAATGCAAATCTTAACACCTAAGGGAAACAGAATAGTTCCTTCTAAGAAAAAAAATATATTCAGATAGATTAGAACACAATGCCTTCTAAGAGATGCAGTCTTAATATTCAGTTTGATTAATTTGAGCTGGTCTAATTGATGTGATTAGATACTAATTGTTCTGCTTAAGAAAAATATAATTCTAAAGGTAACACATTCCAATCAATTCTAATTTCCTAGCATTGACCCTCAATTTTCTCCAGTACAAACAAATAGACATACTAACAATAATTGTGATGTTTTCACCAACTAAGAAACATATTTTTTCCCCCGATCCCGACTGCCAAATGACATCATGAAACATTAAAATCCCTCAAACAAATTAAAGTCATCCAATTCATTCAACTAAATCAAACAAAACTCTGATCCATTTACCCCATGAGTTTCCCCACAATTTCTGTCCATCCAAAGACACTCCACAATGCAAAATCCAACGAATAAAACAAAACAAAATACCTATCGGACATGGTAGCAATGGTCTTAAAAGCAAGAATCAATCCGCGATCCGAATTCGACCCACGATTCTGCCACCGACCCAATGAAGAAGAGAGGAACTCTCCAGAAGTGCCGTTAGGCTTAGCGATAACGGTGGATAAACCGCCGTCGGCCAAGAGTGGGTTGGTGGGACCGCCGACACGGACGGGATCGTTATCGCCCGACTCATTGGCGAATGTTCTCCATTCAGATGTCTCGTCGATGGAGTGTGACTCCAACACTAACCCGCACTCCGAACACACGGTGTCACCGGCCGAGTGGTCAAAAACCACTTCCGTGTGCTTTTTGCAGTCAGAGCAAAACGCGTCTCCCATATCTGAACAGCTAACAGTTTTTTCTTTTCTTCTCTTCTTTGTTCGCTCTTAAATTCTCTCTTTTTTTTCCCAAAAAATTGAAACAGAAAAAAGATCGTTAGGTTAAAGTATGCTTTTTTGTTGAGGGTAAACTACAAATAACTTCTTTCAATTCCGTTCAATTTTGATCACTAAAATTGAAAAGATGTATTTTAGTCATTTACATTATTAATTTATTATAATTTGATCACCGAGTAACTATCGTTTGGGGATGTTTGTCGACCGAGTCAGTCCCGAATTAGATAGTGTTTGATTCGTGCTCGTTAAAAAAATTATTGTTCAACTCGTGTTTGTTAAAAAGCACTTGTTGCTCGACTCATTACTCGTTAAGTTTGATGTTCGCCTCTTTACTTATTAAGCTCACTGAAAGCTTTATCTTATTTTCTTAACTACATGTAAAATCAATTAATATTATATAGAATTTAATATAAACATAAATTGATGCATTTGACACAAAAATTATTAAAAAAATTGTATGAATCAATATTAAAGTCTAAACTATAAAGTAATAAATATTAAAATAATAAATAGGTTTTGATTTTTTGGTGTAGTAAAATATTTATTAATAATATAATATTTTTATTATTTATTAGAAAATTAATAGATTATCATTAATTAGTAATTTTTTAATGAAATAATTTGTTAAGATAACAACTAAAAAGGTATATGGTAAACTATGTATTTAGTATCTAAACTATCAATTTTGATCTGTTTTAGTACCTAAACTTTTAATTTTTTTGAAAATCATACTTAACGTTTAGTATTTGTTTCATTTTGGTACCCACCATTAAAAACTTAACATATTTAATACTTAAACTATCAGTTTTGGTCCGTTTTAATACCTAAGTTTCAATTTTTTTTCAAAATTTAACGTTAAGTTTTGAACAAGGGTACTAAATGAAACAAAAACTAAACGTTATGTATGATTTTGAAAAAATTGAAAGTTTAGATACTAAAATGACCGAAATTAATAATTTAGGTACTAACACGTAATTTACCCGAAATTATATTAAAAATTAACGAGTTACTCGTGAATTTATCGAGTCGAATTGGACTTGACTCGACTCGTTGAGGTCTCGAGTTCAAGCTACTCATGATCTACTCAACTCATTTAACATCCCTACTATCGTTATCCCAGTTGATTTGACAGGTTAAAAATAGTTGATTTCTAATTTTATCTTCAATTTTTAGATAAAATATTAATTTAGACCTAGACTTTTATCAAAGTTTTAATTTAACCAAAAATCAATCTCTCCTTTTTTTAATTCATCTTCTCCAACGCATTCATCTTATCTAACACCATTCTTCCACGAGTGCTTGTCGATTTTAAGAAGCTTATTCCCCAATTATCGACCTTCCATCCTTAAGCTTTCTCCCTCCCCACTATACTTACTATCGAATGAGTAAATAAGATATTGGAGTTATCTGAAATTTGAAATTATAGACTTACATAAAAATAATGAAATGGAGGGATTCAATTAAATACAATTCAAATCAAGAGGCTTAATTGTAAGATTTTGGGGAAATTAAGGATCATATTGAACACTGGTGAAATCTTGGAGTCCATTTTGAGAATGGTATGATTCTACAAGGAAGTATTTTGTTATTTCCCTATTTTGTGTTAAAGTTAAAAAGAAAAATAATAAAAAGTAAAGTTTTGGCCTTTGGTGGGATCAAACTTATATCTTTAGGGATTGTAAGCACCATGTTAATCACCGAAAACAATAAAGTAAAGATTAATAATAAATGAAAGAAATGAATGGTAAATAAAAGAAATCAGATATAAAAATTCTTAGCCTTAGGTTTGGTTAGTCTCAATTTCGATTGTTTATCGAAACTAATTTTTTCTTCTTCGATAGTATGTTAGTTATAGTCTCCATCAACCAACCCCTATAGCTAAACCTCTTCTAAATTATTCGGTTCCGGACCAACTTAGAAACTCGATCCTTGTTGAATTTAAACACGTAATCGCCGTAAGGATTATGACATCTTTGAGTTCTAGAAGAATCCAACTCGAGTTAACAATGACTCGTGCACGAATATTGAATTTGATTTTGATTTCCTTTAATGGATCACCTGTAACACCCCCAACCCGTATCCCAACCCGGATACGAGTCAGAGATATTACATTGACTTTTAAAACACAACTCATTACAAATAATAGTAAAATACTTGAACTTATTTTATGAAAAATACAATAATATACATATGGTACTATAAGTTTACCAAAATATTCAGAGCATACACAACTTAACTTTTTAATTACATGCCAACAACCATTTTCAAAACAAAATGACCTACTGATTAAGTTGCTTCTGATCTGATAGTTGCAGGAGTAATGTTGTCCAGCTGCTTAACCTCGATCGTCTACTTTATCGGATCCTACGTGTGAAACACTCACACGCTAAGTCATCGACTTAGTGAGGCAATAATATAATAATAATATCAATAAACATAAAGTAATTGCCAAAATGAGATGGGTTGCAATAATAAGATGTATGTAAACAATGCAATAACCAAAACCATGTTTCTTACACATATACTTATCAAATTCGCATTCATAAGTTCGCCTTAGTAAGTTCATTAGCCCATGGTACCATACAGAGAACCTAAGGTATGTGAGTATTGTGAGGTTGTGTACTATGATATCACCACAGCTCATATAATTGTACCTAAGTGCCACGTAGAATTGCACCGGAGTGCCGCGTAGAATTGCACCGTAGTGCCATATAATAATGTCCATAAGGACCACATATCATTCCTTAAGAATCATATACATATGCCAAGGATCAAGTATGTGTCTCACCAGACTTCACACATGTTCCAAAGAATACATATATGTCCCGAAGGACCACATATCATTCCTTAAGAATCATATACATATACCAAGGATCAAGTATGTGTCTCACCAGACCTCACACATGTTCCAAAGAATACATATATGTCCCGAAAGACCACATATCATTCCTTAAGAATCATATACATATGCCAAGGATCAAGTATGTGTCTCACCAGACTTCACACATGTTCCAAAGAATACATATATGTCTCGAAGGACCACATAGACCCTCTACCCTTGGCATGCCAACTATACCTATAGTTCTCATTTACATAACATGGGCTTTCACAATTTATCTAATTCATATCACGAAGACATATTATTTCCATACCTTTATCATATAACTCATATAACTTTTCTTTCATATTCATGTCCCATAATGCATATGGTATGGATTCATGTCATATATCATCATATGAACTACGATCATGTATCAAATATTGAATCTAGACTTATCACAAGTCTATAACTGAATAAAATACATATTCATGTTATGCATATGCACTCACCTAGATTTCTTTGTTTTTCCCTCGATTGATCCTACTTGTCGATGGTTCCGGAACTCGATTAGGCTCAATATCTACATTAGCAAAATTTTCAAGATGATTATCAGATGCCTAAGTCTTGAAATTAACCTCTAATAGCCTACCAATTTAAGGGATTAATAGTTTAGTCTCTCTTCTTTCTTCTTCTTTTTTCATTATGGGGGGATCAGTTCCCCCCTGGGGGTATCGATTCCCCTCTAGCATTCTGGAAATTCATATTCGTTTGAGGGGGGATCGATTCCCCTTGAATGGGTACAGATTCCCCTAGCCCAGAAATCCCATTTTGAGCTCGAAATTCATTTCATTTCAGCTCAAACCTTTCTATTTCACTTCCTTTAATACTCCTAACTTTAATACACATACTTAAACTCATTTCTATTCCATAATCACTTCTTTAAACCCAAAATTCCATCATTTACATGGCATTCAAGAATCAAACTAAATTTTCAAGGTGTTCTAATTCCAATTCTAACACTTCATATCCCTTAATTAACTTGATGACAAGTCAAATCTCACTTCCAATTCTTATTATGAACTCTAATCTAAGATTTCACTTTTCTACTTCATTTCTTTAATTCTTCATATACTTCTCCTTTTGAGGTTTTAAAATAATTTAAACCTCTTTTAAGCTTAACTATTGCCTAATAGTCATGAATCAACCATAAATTCATCAAGAAATTCACTAACAAGAAAATCTTACCTTAGCTTGGGTCTCACGTATGAAGAAGAAGAAAGAAGAAGATGACTCTGGAAGCTTGTTTTAATTTCCTACTCTTCCACGTGCTTAATATAATACTAACCCCAAAATTATATTGCTATAAAAAGACCATTTTGTCCTTCTAATCTTCCTTCTTTATAATTCAATCCTACACCAAATAACTCAAATAGGTCATTGAACTCTTCCATCATTCTACTTAAATCACCAAATGCTGAAACTTTACAAATTAATCACTAACCCGGCATGGAGGATGTTACAAATCTCCCTCCCTTAAGAAAATTTGTCCTCAAATTTTTAATAAGAAAAGAGATGGGGATACTGATTCCTCATATCCTCCTCACGCTCCCATGTTGCTTCCTCTACTTTGTGATTCTTCCATAAAACTTTAACCAATGGAATAGTCTTGTTCCTCAATTGCTTAACCTCATGAGCTAAAATTTGAATCGGTTCTTCCTCATAAGTCATATCCGGTTGTACCTCGATCTCTTCTGGGTTTACGATATGGGAGGGATCCGATCGATATCTTTGAAGCATTGAGACATGGAATACATTGTGAATCTTTTCCATTTCTGGTGGTAAAGTCAATTGGTATGCTACGGGTCTCACTCTTTTTACAATTTCATATGGTCCAATAAACCGGGGACTTAACTTTCCTTTCCGACCGAACCTCAACACATTCTTCCATAGAGATACCTTTAAAAACACTTTATCCCCAACTTCAAATTCAATCTCCTTTCTTTTAAGATCAGAATAGGACTTTTGCCGATCAGAGGCCACTTTGAGGTTATGTTGAATTTCTCGAACTTTCTGTTCTACATCTTGAATTAACTCCGGACCAAGAACACTTCGATCTTTGAGTTCATACCAATTTAATCGAGTACAATATTTTTTTCT